ATTATTTCATAATTAATACTTTTTATTTTGTACTCTTAGGGTGCAAGATAGATTAACCTAGAAACAAATAAAAGGGAGAGCAGTTTTGCAGGTTCACTTGCAGTAGATAGTAAAATAACGTTTATTAATGAAGAAAGAGTGAGATTATTTTACATTCACGTGATTTATTTTATTATCAATAATTATAAAATATACAATTTACATAAAATAATTGTACCTAACTTTTAATAAAAGCCAATTAATTTTTGTATAATCTCTTTTGGGGGTTTCTATTTCTTTTAAATTAATGCTTAACCTTATACCTTTTTCAAAAGGTTAGAACACAACATTATATTCTTTTCAATAAATTCATTTGCTTATATATAAAAAAAAAAAATTGGTGTAAACTGATTAACCTAAACTACATAAATTATTTTGTTAAAATTTTTTAAAATTTTGATTTTTTTTTTTTTTTTTGGGGTGGGGGGTTGGTCATATCATAACCTAATGTCTGTGAAGCACATTCATGGGTGAAGTAACTAGAAGGTCAACCACTAAAGTATGTTTCCTCTTCCCTCATCTCGTGATGTGCTGCATCACTTTAATTAAATCTTTGAATATTAAATTATCTTCTCCCATTTCCTATCCTTTTCCTCGCACTATTTCCAGGATTGATCTCTGCCTTTTCCAACTGAACCCTCTCCACTTGATGAAAATTTCTAATAGCATGTCACAACTGGTAACATCCACTAGGTTAGGTGATCCTATAGTTGACGATAGAAATCTGTGAATAAGAAAAAAAAAAAATTGAGGTGAAGTAGGTTAATTATTTTAAATTTAACCATAAAAAAAAATGGAAAATGAAAGGCCTTTGCCGACGTTTATGCCGAGAAAATGAAAAAGAAAATGGTTATTTAATTTATGAAATAATTTATGGGGAAATTGAAAATTTTGATTATGATATTTGAGGTTTAGGCATTGTCACATGTGATGCAGAGAGAGAAAGACAAATAGTGCCAAAACATGGGCATGCTGCGAAGTTATTGTCATTTCCTCGTAAAGAAAGAGATGTTTAAGCTTTCTTCTTCTTTTTTTTTTTTTTTGGCTGACGAAAGTAGATGTTTAACTAATTATTTTTTTTGTTTTGTTTGTTTGGCAGAGGAGGTAGATGAATGTAAATCTAAGTAAAAACAAAAGGTTAAATATAATTTTTAGTGTTTAAAATTTTTATTTTGAAGATTTTTAATTTTAAATGATTTTTTTATACTTTTCATTCTTAAATTCGTTTAAAAAATATATTTTTAGTTATTTTATCGGTTAAATTATTAAATCTGTCAATATATATTTTTAATTTTTTTAAAAATATATATTATAAATTTAAAATTTTAAAATGAGTATATATAGATAAATTAAATATAATAATTGAAAAAAAAACTTAAAAATATATTTTTATAATTTAGAGACAAAGAAAAAATAAAATTTGTTTAGAAATTAAAAATGACATTTAATCTAAAACAAATAAGGTTTTATTTTATTAAGAAATAATATAATTATATTACTATATAAAAATTATAAATTTATAATCATTATATTTTATTAAATAAATAATTATACATAACATTTGAAATAAATATATAAATAAAATTTATCGTATAATAATATAATATAATTATTTTATTATTATATATGATATTGTACCAACACATATTTATATTTTATTTGATGTGAACCTAATTTTGACTTCTTTTTAGCTGTCTTTTCATTATTTGGATTTTTGAGAGGGGAATTATATGGTGTAACAAAGGTTGAGATCAGGCTGATGTTAAATTGTGGAAGATTGAGATGTTAATAATTAGTTTGGAATAAATGAAGTTCCTTTTCTTTCTTTCTTTTTCTGAGTGTCTTTTTCTCTAGGTCTCTTGGGCACTATTGTGTGATAAGGAATTAGAAACATTGTGAAAAGAAAGAAGACTAAAGGTTGTGGATTGGCAGCAGACTTTCAGCCTGTGTTAATAGGAATTGTGTAAAAGGTGGTAATTTTGATTGTATTTCATTTACCTTAAAAATTATAATTCAGTAATTTTTAAATTAAAAAATTTTTTACTAAAAAATTCCTAACAAAAAGGTTTTTATACAATTTAAACTACAAAATTTAAATTATAAGAATAGTAAATATTAATCTTGATTCTTAAAAAAATTAAAAACAAAAATAAATTATAATACATTTTAATAGAGAATAAAAATTATCAACGATTTAAATAATTGAATAATTATCTTTTTTTACTAAAAAAAATTTTAAATTCAAGTTGTATAACATACGAGTAAAGTAAGATAAAAAATAAGAGA